ACTTTCACTCTGAGGAGGCTTGGAATGATTCTTAGTTATCGTTTGTGACACCGTAGCCCCAAAGATCCTCATCTGGGCGAGGGCCCCACTGTGTGAGACGCTCTGTGCACCTACCGGACTGCATGATCCCACCTGAAAAGCTGAGACCCTCATTTAAAGATGAAACACAACAAATGAGTGTAGCAAAGAACAGGGTGGCAGGGGATGGGGAACAGCCCAGGGTACCATCCCCAGCACCAGGTGGTTTCACAGGGTTACACTGTGATCGCTCTGGCTGAAGCATGTAAAGATTTTTCTCCAATCATTATTTTCAAAAAAGTTCCCCATCAACCATAGCAAACTCCAGTGCCGGGCCTCCCATGATATTTCTCCCTGTAGGAGAAAGTGTCCATGCTCTATTGTTTTCAGATAGCAACATATTTATTTGCCTGCTCCCACCCACCGACTCTCAGTCATCCCTCTTACTGAGCATTCCTCTTCACTCTCCTTTCCCCAGGGCAGCAGTAAAGATAAACCATCCCCGGTGCTTACAGGGTGGAAGACAAGTGACCCCACGGGCTGTACAGTCACTTCCACAAGGAAGGTGGCTATTGGTATTTGTACAGTAAGAGAAAGGGCCCAGTTCCAACTCAGGCATGCTGCTGCTACACCACCATCAAACACTGAGCTCCTGCCCCCTGCCCCAGTGTATACTATTGCACATACAGTCCAAAGCTGAACTCGCCTTGTTTTGCTACCGTATTGCTTTGCAAACTCACATCTAATTAGCTGTCCTCTATCACTCCTGAGTCTCCGTTGGCATTATTGCCTTACAGGTTTCTCACACCCACTGACTGTGCACTTTGCATGATCTTTGGACGAAAGCCTCACATGTTTTAAAGCTGAAACTCATTTTGTTACGTTCCATTCACATTTCTAACCTGTCTGGGTCCCACTGTTTTTGTTCCTCTGACCTGAATGGTGTTTGCAACTCCTGCCAATTTGGTATCTGTAAGTTTCATTAACAGGCTATTCATTTCCTCCTCAGCCCATTCATGAAGCTGATGGGAGGCACTCACCAAAACAGCAAATGGAATTTGCCTGTGTAGGGGGGGGAAAGAATTTCCTGTTGGTGGTTGCAAACCTTTCGGTTTCACTGCCAGGTGAAACAAGGGTTCACCCTTACAAAAGAGGGACAACCTGACTGGTCATTGAAGAGATAAATAGAAGACAAATGTGTGTCACTTGGAAAGGCAGAGGTAAATGACAGGTGAAGGGTAAAAGAGTCTTCTATTCAACTCTGCCTACATCTGGGCTCAGGAGAAATCTGACCAGCAAGGAACTCTTCTTTGTGTATTAGAATGATATAGCAGAAGGCTGCTATAGTCTAGTTTCAGTTGATTGCAGAGTGGGGGACAATACAGAGAGATGGGCCAAAAACAAGCAAGAGAGAAAACCGGGTAGCTTTTAAAAACAAATCCTGTCTTTGTGGTTTCCTTTAAGGGAGACATGGGAGCACTGTCCCCTCCTGGGAAATACAAAAGATAATGGCTTGTGGAAAACGGTCTTAAGGTCCTCTCTTGAATTAGGGTCAGCTATTCTTTTAAACGTTTTTCAATTCTTTAAAATGCTGTTCTGGGGTAAATAGTGAGGAGGGAGGTCAGGATTAATGAGTCTCCTCCTGTTCAAAGGCACCTGCCCAACCACACTTGAAAGTCTCAAGCCATTTACATTAGCTTTCTGATTAAACAAAAGATACTATATATTTCTGACCCCACCACACAGCTAATCCTCACTGGTTTGTGATCTTGCCCGGGGTGATGCTCCGGAGCCAGAACACTGGATGTTCTCCAGTGAAGATTTCCATCTTCTATCATAGCACCTTGAAAGCTGCAGCTGCCTCTTCTCTCTTCTCCCATTCATCTCCCCAGTGCCAACAGGTTTTTGTTAGAATCATGTTTACAAGGTGTCTGGTCGATTATAATATTGTAGTATTAACTGGCTGGCCAGAGGCTCCCTACGTTTGCTCACGTTTGTCCTGCCAGCTAAAGTTGATGACAGGAGAGAATGAAAATACATCTAACTGCTATTGTGACATGACATTTGGATTGGGAGAAACACTGAAGATGGGACAGATCAGAAAGAGATTCAGAAAAATACTGGCACCACACACCAAATGTCACTAGCACTAGAAGCTACTCCTTTCCCAGCCCTAAGCTCCTGCTGGTCATTTAAAATGTAAAAAAACCCTCTTATGGTGACATGCCAAAATGTAATTCTTTGTCAGTGCACGTGCCTAAAGAACAGGTCAGACCCCTGCAAAGAGTCATCAATACTGTTTGCATTCACAGCCATTTCCACAATACAGCCATTTAGTGATTTGTTCAGTTTCAATAGTTGAATTTTTAGGAATCTCTAACAAACTAACTGCAAAAAATTAAAATTTAGAATAAAATGGTAATTTGTATTTAATTGGTGGGTATAAGTGTAAAATACCGGTGAGCTTTTTCAACTAAATTTCCTGATCTCATATAGTTTTGATTCTTTTGTAACATGAAATATAAATAAAGTTTAGAAGCAAGTCAAATTGAATGATGTCAGGCAGCTTAATCCAAAAATGTGTAATCCTTCCTACAAAATATGCATGGTGGTTACACTAATTCCTTTATCCTATCCCTGTAGTCTATTAGTCATGCAACAATTCAAGGATCAGCATGTTAATGAAATGATTCGCAAAATACATTTCCTTAAATAAAAATGGACACTATAATCTTTTTGCAAGGAGAGCCTTTCCCATGAAGCACCATATACCTTACAAACCCTTGTGCAGGACTGGCTTGCAATCTATTCCACAAGAGGGCAATCATATTCCACTATAAATGTATAGGATGATTGTGGCTCAGTTTAGAAGTGACCAGTTATTTCCAGCTGAACGCAAACGCTAAATACCTCCCCATTCTGCTGTGGTTGGGAAAAGTGAAACAAATATCTAATTTGAGATGACACTCACTCTCTCTTCAGAATTGAAAATAAATAAGTTTACAGAAGGTAAGTGTTTTCTTGTTCCAAGTTTTTGAATAGTTTCAGATTTAATAGTTATCTGCAACCTGAAATACTGAAGATATTTCACTGCCAGGACACCCAATCACCTCAGATTAGAGAACAAACAACTAATATAGATGGGACATGACATAAATGATTATTAATACTGTGGTTGGATAGGGACGCAAAGGGCTGGTCTACACTTGGGGGGGGAATCGATCCAAGATACGCAACTTCAGCTACGCGAATAGCATAGCTGAAGTCGAAGTATCTTGGAACGAATACCTGGGGTCCAGATGGTGCGGGATCGATGGCCGCGGCTCCCCCGTCAACTGCGCTACCGCCGCTCGCTCTGGTGGAGTTCCGGAGTCGACGGTGAGCGCGTTCGGGGATCGATATATCGCATCTTAACGAGACGCGATATATTGATCCCGGATAAATCAATTGCTACCCGCCGATACGGCGGGTAGCGAAGACGTACCATAAGATAGAAGATATTTTAGAAACTGAAAGTAAGTCCACTTTTCAAGAGCATAATTAAAGACGTTCCAAGGGCAAAAAATATAAATTCATTCTTTTTGTAAGTTTGGTTCAGACAACTTACATTCTCAGTGCAGTGCCTGCTGTTCTTACCTGGCTGCCCGAGTGTTCCCCAGGTGAGTGCCAAACACTCTGTCTTGACATTGGCAATATTTTCCAAGACATCCTTTTCTACCTAACATCAGTGGCCCCTGGCAATATGCCCAGTCCTCGGCTTCCCAAATTCTGAACCAAAATACGGCAACCTGCTTATTCAGACACTCAAAAGTACAGCAAACTAGTAGCAGATTTTGGTAAGCAAACAGAGGTGACATATAATCACTTCTTTTGTAATTGTAGATGACGTAAACATTTAAATTCTTAATAATTTGCTGAATAAAAATGAATAATAAATAAAGTCAGATATGTATGCTAATGAAATATATCTGTCAGGTACTGAAAGTGTTCTTTAGGCTGCATTAGTAAGGAGGGATATCCATTCTCTCTTTAGGTTTATACTTGGTGGCCTATTGTTTAACTACAGGTTGGAAAGATTGTATTCAGACTGAATCAACTACTCAACAAATCTCTGTCTTCTATGAAGTCCTTTTGTTTGGTAGCTTTCATTGAGAAATCTGCAAAACCTTCTCTGTTCAGGGTAACAGATGATGCATTATTGTTTTGAACAACAAAAGATGCTGGAAAGCAATGCCTGTGTGTTGTTTATATGTGATATTCTTCAGTCACAGGAATGAAACTTATTTAAAGAAGTGATTTAGAGAAGTTTTCAATCAACATTACAGAGATTATGAAATTTTAGCTACTAAACAAGAGACATCATGCACTATAAAGCCTTCACTATATATAGGGTGACCAGATGTCCCGATTTTATAGGGACAGTCCAGATTTTTGGGTCTTTTTCTTATTACCCCCTACCCTCTGTCCTGATTTTTCACATTTGCTGTCTGGTCACCCTAACTATTTAAGGCTCTCTGTAGAGCTTCAAATGGCAGAAGGACTTCAACAATTATACAGAACCAGCCTTAAATGTCTGATCATAAAACACTCCCTGGTTCCTAGGCAAGGCTACTCAATGATGGTGGGTTATAAATAGAGCTGGTCACAATTTTCCATTGAAAATTTTTTTAAATGAAAAGTCTTTTTCCAAACTAAAAATGTTCATAAAAAGCTTTTTTTTAAAAATTCTGGTTTAAAAAAAAAAAAACTGGAAATTTCAAAAAATTCATTTTTTTAAACTCCTTTCTTTCATCTAAAATTTTGTCCAAAAATTTTAAAAAATGAAAAACTGTTGTGTTTCATAATTAAAATTACCCTGAAATTCTGAATTTTTTTTTGGTGAAACTATATTTCCTTTCTTTGACCAGCGTTAATTATAAACAAACCCCAGGCCCTTTACATGCTCAGGCAGATGTCGAGAAATGCAGCAACAAAATACTTACTGTTCTGGACTAGAAACTGAAGTCCTTCGCCCTTCCACAGCAATGTTGCTCTTGGGTCTCTTAACAACGTGAGGTCTTGGAGGACGAACCTATTATATACACACACAATGGAGACATTTCATCAAATACTCTAACAAGCATCAAAACAATAGACACATTCCACATAAAATCTGCAAAAATTGATCCATTGCCAGCTTAGACATTGCTTCCATTCAGAATCCCTCTTGAAAATTTATATATTTCTGTGCTACACTAAAATTATCATTAAATCTGTATTAAACTGAACTATAGTAACCCATTTCATTAAAGGACTCTAATGGCACTTGTGCAAATTTATATCTAAGTTTAGACGTCTGGGCTAAGGGTTAAAATGGTTCAACTTATTTTACTTTTTTAAAGCAGCAAATGTCATGTAAGTGCTTTTGTCAGTTTGGAATCATACTGAAGATGTGAGTAATTGGAAGAGTCAGGTCAGTACACTGACTGATGGGTATTAGCCATGTACTCAAAGTTTATTTCACTTCTGCATGCAGTAGATGAACAAATACTAGATCTTCTGACTGAGTTCCCAAATTGTGTGCTTCATGTAAAGACTTAATTGCTAAAATGAAAATGGGAAAGCCTTGTATTTTGTTGCACAATGTACAGGAGACCAGAGTTCAACTCCAAAACCACACTCTTTTTCTTTGCCTGTTTGTAATAAACTGATTGACTTTCTACAGCAATCACCTCTGTGTAGGAAAGACAGCACTGAAAGAAATGAAGAAGTAAAAATAAAAGTGAAAGCATGAAAAGCATTACCAATTTCCATGATGCCATAAAGAGTTTGGTTCCTTTAATCCGTTTAATAGAACATATTATTAGGTGTGTTTCCATAAACACTGAAGAGTTGCATGTGAATTTTATTCAGTAGCCATTCAATAAAATCTAAAGTTTTTCTGCAGTTAGATGATATATTTGATATACCGTTTCTATTAGTCATATCTGAAGTTACCGCTTTATCATCTTCTGATGCTGAGAAACATTGCTTTTTTTGCCAGCACAGAACAGGAAATATACAAGCTTCAGATTAGGGAATGTTTACACACACGCCTAACTGTTCTCGCATGAGCAGTATTATTTAAGTCAATGTGACTACTTGCATGTGTCAAGCTAAGTGCATACGTAAGTGTTTGCAGGGTCAGGGCCACGAGGTACAGATCACCTTCTCTGATGGGAGTTGTTCATATGTAAGAATTGTTCTCATAACAAACCTCTAAGTTGTTGACTTAGCCCAACATCAGTTTCAGCAAGAATCTCCAAAGCCCCCAAATAAAGAACGGAACACAACTAAACTTCTGCCATCCCTAAGCTTGTGTTTTCTTAATAGCTGCAGTATACAGAAGGCTGTTAAAGGTCTACAATCTAGATGCTCTTTGGATGATGGGAGAATTTGTTTGCAGTGAGAGATGATGGTCTCCCCTCCCCCATATCCCCACCCTTAGTACGGTTATAGCAACATAAAGCTCTAATTTCCACAGCAGGAAAAAGCCCTGAACCCTGTGTGTAGGGTTTGCGACACATGAACATGCATAAGATAATAGCAGAATTATCTTTTGAATTTTTGTTTCAAAGGAAATAGTGTGCAGCAGAAATGATGGAGAAGTTCAGAGACGGATTGCCGCTATTCGTGGGGGGTGGAGGAAGGGCTTATAGGAAGGTCAGATGTTAGGGTCTCAAAGATCAGTCACCACACAAGACTGTTCCTTTCTACAATAAAGACAACTTAAGAATGTGAATTTATGGCAGGAATGGAAGGATTAAGTTTGTGGCAACTTCCACTGAACTTGCAACGTGGTGAAACATGGGGAAAAGAACAACAGAGCTAATTAGACGAGCTGAGCTGTCAGAGTGCAGCTGAATGGCTCAGTGCCAACAAACAAAAAGAATGGGCTGGCAATCAGCGGGATCGATGGAGAAGACTGCTTCATTAGGGATGATAAAACAGAGAGAGAGAGGCAAGCAAGGGGGATACAGGGAGAGAGAAAGAGAGAGGGAAAGAGAGAAAGGAAGAAAGAAAGCTGTTTAATTAAGCCTGAGCTGGAAGATGATGCATAAAGCTGGCTTGTCATCGTGCTGTGAACACTTTCACCTTTTGGGTGGTACTCAAGGGGGGACGACTTTGGATGGCTTCTCTAGTGTTACCAGCCCAGCAGTGTCTGGGGAAAAATGCTAAGAAGGATTTAGAGCACTGTTCTAGGGGGACTGCAGGGGAAAGTCAGGAAACAAGCCAATTCCTTGCTGGATTTGAAGCTGTATATATCCAAGCAGGCTGGGTTAAATGTGCACTGAATGCACAAGCACCTAGAAAATCTGATGGCATGAGAGCGTGTATGAGAAAGAAAGGGTAAAAACCTAATGTAGAAGGGTTAAACTAGCACATAACACTCCCTACTTCACCCAGGGCCGGCTCCAGGGTTTTGGCCGCCCCAAGCAGCCAAAAAAAAAAAAAAAGGAAGGCGAAGTGAGCCAGAGTGAGGGACCGTCCGCCGAATTGCCGCCGAATAGCTGGACGTGCCGCCCCTCTCCGGAGTGGCAGCCCCAAGCACCTGCTTGCCAGGCTGGTGCCTGGAGCCAGCCCTGACTTCACCTTACACGTTATTACTCGACATTTGAAGTGCTTTTCTTTAATTGAAAGAAGTTTCATTCCAGCCCACAGGTCGTGCTCACTATAAACAATGGTTCCTTTGTCAGGGTGTCACATTCATTCCCAAAAAGTGAAATATAAAAAGCTTATTTCTTATATGTTTCCTTACTGTGTTTTTACTTCAAACTGCCTCTGTGATGTATGCTACAAACATTCCTCCCTTGAAAATGCCAGTAACTAGCATCTTCACACAGCCGTGGTTTTCAACCTATTTTCATTTTCAGACCCCTAACAAATGTAGAATAGAGATGCAGATCCCTTTGGAAATCTTAGGCAGTCTCTGGACCCCCAAGGGCCCTTGAACCACAGGTTGAAACCCACTGTTCTATGGTAACAACCACCCTTCGTGGACCCCGAGGCAGAAGTCTGCGGACCCCCAGGGGTCTGCGGACCACGGGTTGAAAACCATTGGGATAAAGCATTCCGTATTTCCTGGCAGCAGGCAAAGGGAGGCAGTGTTGTGTGGTGGTTGAACCTGGGCGCAGAAGTCAGGGTATCTGGAGTCCCCGCCTTGGACAAGTCACTTCCTGATACCCACCTTTGCAGCATGCTCTAAGATATAGAGCTGGAAAAGCACTCTGTGCAAAATGTTATTCTTTACGCTAAAAAAGTGTGTTTTATCTATTAAAAACAAAACAACAGTATTGATAAACACATAATCTATGGATTTAGTCAACTTTAAAGACTAATTATGATATCCCCCCGCCAGGCACTTATCACTTAAAGCCACATTATGGCAGCTCTGTATTCTTCTGAGTACATGCAAATACGATGTATAAGTCATACCTGCTGTAGCTATGCACAGTTGCTGGAACAAAAGGTCTAGAAATGCTTTAAGAGCTATTTTAATCATACACATTTATCTTGATTTTCATCCTGATGAACGCAGCATTCTAGTTGCATTTGTTAGCACAGGCTGCTGAATGCAACAGGAGCTTTTATTATTACTTTCTAACCTTTTATCAATCACTTTGGGAGCAAAGACAGTTGACACAAACACATCATACTGAGGACTACTAATGTACTACATCTGAGAGATTAAACAGACTTGGCAAGATCTGCTTTGATGCAATACACTATTCAAACTGAAGCAATATTGTTCAGAAACATTTTGTCCACAGAAGTCCCTGCATGGCCTGATGGCACAACACCAGCCTAGAGCACAACAAGAGGAATGTGAAGTGCTACAGGGAACCTCTGGTTTTAGAAAGAAGGGGAAAATTTGTTCCCTGTGTACCATATCCTGGAGGGTCTCCGATATCAATTACATTCAAGGAGATGCATAAGCATAGTTAGCACTGCCTTTTATACATGTAGAAGGGACGTATACAATGCAGAAATCCATAACAATGACTCTTAAGCGCCACACCCACAGTTATAAAAGAAAAAAAACATGCCATCTAAATATAAACTTAGGAACATGCACTGAAGGTTAAAAGTGAACCCACACCCAAGTGCACTGGTTAAACTGATTGCCTGCACATCACAGAGACTAAACATCTTTAGCAAGTTTTAGCAAGGCTAGATTTGAAAACTTGCTAGGTTGTTTCATATAGATATATAAGGAAGCAAATAGAGAAAGCATTTGCCTTCTGATGAAATTATGCTCGCTGGGCAGAAATCCTAAACAGAATTAAGTACCCTCTGAGTTTGTTGCAAAAACAACTGTCAGCTTGAACTGACACCAACTTATTTCCTTTGGTAAATAACAGTTACAGCCTCAGATCTAGCACAGTCTCCATTTTTAAAGGCATCTGGAATAGTTAATATGCAACAGTATGGCTACAAATCAGTGTTTAAAATAGAAAACTGCTTAGACAACATTTCCTTGCCTAACACAGGTGCTGCACTGATTTCTGTGTAGCTTTTCTGTAAAAGAGGCATTTGGTCTTACCAAGATGTTGGTGCCTGAAATTTTTTATACTATAGATAATCAAATGGAACTCCAGCTAGCATTTTAAATGAGCATTATGCACATTTCTATACAGGGCACAATGTAGTACTGCCCAGATACAGATTTCCTATTCTTTAGACCTATCCAACTCACCTACTCTGGGAGGAAAAATTTAACAATCAATCCCAATGCATTTACAGCAAGACCTGGGGAAAATAAATAACTTAGTGTCAGATTTTTGCTTCCTTTCATATTTATGAGTTTAGTGCAAGTCTTCAAAAGCTCACTGGCTAAAAACTTATGTCAGCCTAGAAGGATTTTTGGTTTAAATAATCACCACAAGAGTAAAAACAAATGTCACACAACAGCAGCATGAGCTACCTGCAGAATTGACCTACAGCTGCAGAACTTGTCAAAGAAAAGCAGAATAAAATGCAGGTCCCAAGGTTGTGCCACAGCAGAGAAGGAGGCAGTTTAGGAGTAGAATTCCCATGTTGCTTTTTGCAAGGTTCAACAGTCCAAACTACCAAGATTTAGTAATGCTACTGAGAGAGCGATTCAGGCAGTGTTAAGCTGCGGCAGTGAGGCAAAACTACCAGCTACTCACGGGCCTAGATGAACGCTGTATCGTTGGAGGAGGCGGCCGAGGTGGAGGTACTCTTTGCTGCTGTATCAAAGTGGAAACTTAGTAATCAGTACATTAAAATATAAGCACCACACATGAAAATACCTTTGATTTTGTATCAATAGCAGTCCACGTGGACAATAGCATGTGCTTTAACCCCACTCCATACTCACCCCAACTGGTGCCAATACCTTTCAAACACAGGAATGCTGTCCTGACCAGTAAACAGAAAGAAATAGTAGAAGAGCTCTGTATTGGTAAGGGCGCATGTCTGCCTCCCAGGTGTACGTTATACCAGATCACGCTCAGCACACAAAGCTCTCCAGATTAGACTGTCCAAAATGTATTATGACTTGAGGACAATCAAGGAGCACCATAACTGGTAATTTCAAGTACTCTAGATGACATTTCAGGATAGAAAATTAGAGATTATACTATAATTAGCTTTTCTTCCCTAAGATTCCCGGAGTGATTTTAGTGCTCATAAAATGTAGGGTACGTCACTGGAATAAAAGCCCTGTGGCACAGCCACAGCTGGCCCAGGCCTTCACAGGGTCCCGGAGTTCAGGCTCCAGCCCAAGCACCTACACAGCCCTGCAGGCTATGTCCCATGGCCTGAGTCAGTTGACCCCGGCCAGCCATGGGTGTTTAATTGCTGTGTAGCGGTACCCAGTGTGACCGAGGCCCCGAACCAATAATGCACTTAGGCTCAGTAGACCACCTGTTAAAATCAACTGGACTCTTCACGTGCCTGAAGTTGAATACATGCTCAAGTGCTTGGCTGATCAGCGGCTAGGTGCAATACCTAAAGCCAGGAGTAGAGCGGACAGGAGCTGTGAAAGCTTTCTATATTTACTTCTGTCATTGCACCTGCAACCCCAGCCTACTGTACCAGCCCTCGGCCAAACTTGGAGCAAAAACTACTGAAGGGCAAGCCTGTGTGCTAACTTAGTGAGGTGGACAAATAAGGACGAGGATGGAATCTGTCAGTCCTCAGCACTTTTGAATGAAGCCGCACGACTCCAGAAGTGAAAGGTCGGTGTATTAACGGAAGGTGCCGATTTTGGTCCCCTCAATTTTAAATTTTGTGTCGGCCAATTCCTTGCTGCTGTAACTCTGCTGGAAACACTCCTACTCTGCTGCTTCGGATTACACAGCATAATAAGCTTCATACAAGCAAGATTTTGTGTGCACCCCACTGTCCTGTAGAACTGAGACTCAAGTGAACCATATGAGGTGACGCTGAATTAAAAGACCCCAAACATTCCAAGTGCATTTTAGTGCTGAGGACTTGACAAAAACTAGAGTGGAACGTCCTTCTAGTGATTGCTCAAATGCATATGGGCTAGGAGAGAAATGAACAGAAGCCTGCAATGAAGTAAATACAAGAATTTCTATACATGTCTGGTAGGGAGAATAGCAACAATTGTATCACTACCTGAAAAGTACCACACATTCTGCAGACAAGACTTCTGTCAACTGTATGGAGAAAGGATACATACAGGCAGGGGGAGTCAGATTCTAAAATAAAGTCTACTCAGACAGGTTAGTATATTTCAATGAAGACAAAGTTTCCATCAGATCTCAGCAGCAGTTCTCAACTTTCTGCTGGAGTGCCCTTTGCTCTGGACTGCAGATGGACATCTCCTCCCCCCACACTCCCACCCACACACACTGCTCTGGCACAGCTCTGCAATCCAGCCCTTTTCTGGCATTCACACTCTTCTTTTCTGTTCTCTTGCTCCTATTCAATGTATTTAAAAAACACATTTTGCATTTGCTGATTTTTACTTTATTGTTTGCTGTCCCAACCCTTCCCAATCAACAGAAGCCATGGGCTCGGGCGCCTTTAGTGGTTCTCAGGTGCCAGGCAACATGCACTGTCATGGGTCAGCTCCTTACATTGGTAAGAGAGAAGTCTGGGCAGGGGAGTTGATGCCAGAGTCTGTCCATGCAAATGCTTCCAATAAAAGTCATCATGGGAACAAAGAGATTCTCATAGTGAGGTGACTGGTCCAGGTTCAGGTAGCTTTCTATCCCTAGTCAAAATTCATCATTCCTCTCTTCTACCCAACTCCTCCCTGGGACTAGCCTGGGGCTCCAGCCCATCTTCCCATCCCATCTGCTCGGGCTTGGAAGTGCTGCCTTCATATATTTAACTTCCTTCACAGAGCTTGGGATATTTATTTTTGTATTAGGTTGCAGCAGTCTCATACCTTCTGCAATTTATTTTCCTATTCATATGCACAGCATTGACTACCTTAGTTAGTGACCCCCTGGCTCACTGAAGAGGAGCAGCGCTGGGTGATTGCTGGAGTATTCTTTTTATATTACTTGCCATTTTCCTACACTTACATTTCGGTTTGCCTCCTGCATATATGTTTTGCTTTTTATTTGTGTAGAAAACTTAAAGAATAGTACATGACAGAACTGCCAGGGTGGAACAGTGATTTAGGAAATCTTAGTGTTTTCCTGATGCCACAGATTGAAGGGTGGTAGGCAGGTCAGTAATTCTATTTACCAGGGCTGTTTTAATTTAAAACAAAATTGGTTTAATATTTCTTATCTAACAAAAGTAAAAAGTCAGTCAGTAAAATGATATTAGGCAACATTTTCAATAGAAGTTGATGCTACCACTTCTTCAGAATTAGTTCATTTCACCTGCCGCCTTTCTTTACTATATTCTATTATGGAAACCCTTTTTGGTTTAGTATCTGAATTGCCTTGCAACAGCAAAAACCAGGCAAGTTTTGGAGAAAACACTGCAAGACTATGGCATCAATAGCATCAGCTGAAGAGCCAGAATCAACAGTTATATTGTTAAATCTTCCGAAAACAGGCAACACCTTCAGAGGGGGACCGACCACACAGCATCTGAGGATTACCTCCTATCGAGATGATCAGTACATTGATCACAGCCATTGCAAAGGCACATACAACTGAACATTACTTGCCCACCTTTATTACTCACTTGGTGATTTTGTTGGAGAGACTGTGACAGGATTCGTTATATTACCCGTTCATATTGTCACTTGCTAACAAAGAAAGGCAATGGCAATAAAGCAGGTTTAATTCCTTTTTATAAAGACCTGAAAGTTATCCCTCCAATCACGCTGGAGGATACACCATTATTTGCACCCCTTTTTTCCTTCATGGAGTTATTAATGCACACTGTAGAATCTCCACATACAAATCGGAGAAGCAGCAGAGAAGGCTTTGAAAGGAAGCACACAGAGGAATGACAGCATCCGGGATATTCCCTTGCAGCAGAAACTGGAGAAGTTGGTGGATAGTAAATGATTTCATTTTTTTCTTCTTGCCTATTTGCAAAAATAATTTAATTCTTCCGTCTGTCATAAATCACTTAGTATTATTTCAGCATTGCCAACCCTGTTCAACAGTCACTAGTTAGATCTCAAAAAATCATGCAAATAGCGTTAAAATTATGAGATTAAAAAAAAAGTAAATGTTGGGGGTTCTTTATTTGTCATCTGGCCTCTGAGTTATTAGGGTGAACTCAGGTAATGTTTTCAAGCTCTTCTCAGAGAGGGATAGAATCTTACTTTTTAAAAAATAAAAACGAGATTCTGACCTAAATCATTTGACTACAGGATCTGGGGTCTTAAGAAAAACACAAATATTGCAAGATTCATGATAAAATCACAAGAGCTGCAACACTTACTTACAGAGGTTCCCCACTGCCTGCCTCTTTCTGGCCCTTGCTCTCTGTGTGGGCAATTTACATTGGCTTTTTTAACACCATATTATGCTGGAAGCTCAAATCTAATGTTATGTCCACTATTGCCTGCACTCTCTTTCCAGCATCTTTCCTCCTTTAATACACTTTCCCCTCAGCACCAGCATTCATTCATCCTTCTGCTTTGCTGCACCTTTGTGTTTTACTCATTACATTCTTTAGCTCCTCTTCCTATTAACATTATGCACATGTGCAAATGTTTTACTAGATCAGGACCTTAAGTCACTGCTGGAAGCCAACCCAGGATGGATTCATCACTGCGTTGCCATTAGATGGCTGTTCATTTGCATTTGGTGGCCACAGCCCAGCTCCCCAGCAGACACATATCATCCTCATTCCAGGTGACACCGCTGTTACCAGTTTCACCAATGAAAGGAAACCCTGAATAGGTTACAAGGATTTTACTGTCTCTCCCACCTCTGGAGTTGGTACCTCCTATCAGGGTTGAGGCTCATTGGCAGGTTGAGTGAAGCTTGACTACAGACAGCACAGCACTTAGTAGTACTAACAGGGCAGGGAGCATCTGGCCTGGCTAGATGTACAGTTGCTTGCAGATGAGCCAACTTCTAACTATTGGGGCTTAGGAGGAATCTTTCCCTGGGGGCAGGTTATTCCTCTCTGCCTACAGCAAGCTTTCTTGCACTTTGTCTGAAGCAGCTGGTACTGGCCTGTATTGATGGCAGGATACTGACCGAGATGGACCCCTGGTCTGATGCAGTATGATAATTCTTATGTTCCTATGAACAGCAGCACGGATGGACTCCAGAGGAAATCTCAACCAACTACTCTTTGGTCAAGGATGGGTGCTGTGATGCAGGTCCTTGGGGGAGGGGAGGAAGCTTTGTTCTTTCCCTAGACTACAGAAAGTATTCCATTAGAATGCTCCAAATTGCCTAAGGCTAGAACAAGGGTTGATTTGAGACAAGCCAATGCACATTGTGTGCAAGTATCATTTTTGTTCCATGAGATAAGCACAAAATCCATGCAAGTGAACATGAAAATTACCATATATATTGCTGTATAAGCCAAGAGATTCAGGGTGAAATTCAAAGGCCACAGGAGGAAGAAGAGAGGTGTGGCAGGACAAGGGAAAGAGCAAAGCACCAAGCCTACACCAAATGAGAAAAGTAGCTTCACAAGCATGCATGACGTTTAAGATGCAAAGCACACATTTGGCACTGACTTATTATTGAAATTAGAGGCCTGCTTATATGCAAGTCAGTATACAAAGTACATGTTATGCTGGAACAAGTCGGGGGGGGGGGAGGGGAGAAGAGGGGAAGGA